ACGGAACGGAACGGAACGGAACGGAACGGAACGGAACGGAACGGAACAAAACGGAACGGTTTGACTGTGGCGCTGGTTTTCAATGAGCCTCGAGCCGAGATGAGTGACAGACGTGTGTGTCACAAAAAAGAACTTAAAATAAACTTCTTAAATTTTTGTGTATGTGTTCTTTGTACATTGTGTTACTATGTGTGTTATATGATCGTTAAAGTATATAAATATAGCAACAAATATAAATATATCTACTGTGTGCGTTTATAGTGTGGTGTCGTAATTACGTAACAAATAAAATTTACTACGTAATCATTGACTTACAAATAAATGGACGACGGGTCTAATACAAAAACCACGAAAAAAATGTCCCAAGTCAACCTATTCGAAATTTAAATTGTTATGTCATCGCAGTATCGCGCTGTCCGTAGAACAAATGAAGAAAAGACTAAAGCGGAGTGTCGCGCTCTGTATACGATTTTAGCGCCTTACAAGTGCGGATACTTTTTAGCGCGGACCCGACGTCCATATAATTGTAAGTCAATGTACGTAATTGATTAATTATTGTCAAGTACTCAAGGTTGCATTTAAAAAAATTATTTCAGCAACGTTACAGATGTCACTTCGATTTTAGAAGTGACTGTGATGGATGAAAAGAAATCTGAAGTCGCAGGGAAAATAGCGATCTTTCTATTAAAAATACGCAATGGTGAAAAAAAGTGGTACGCATTGAAAGACAGTACGTTAAGGGAAAGAGCGAAAGGGAACAATCCTAAAATATTGTTAGAGATGAATCTTTGTTGGAACTTGGTGAGTAATAAATTTTGAATATAGTGGAACTGGCAGATTCATTAAGCTGCTGCTTTAGCTTTGTAAAGGGTAAAGGGAATTCAGACAATAAATATTTTTAAACAATTAATGACTGATGGTAGTTTTTTCCAGTATTTATTGTTCTTTGATCCTACATAGTGAAATACGTACGAGGTAGAGCTGTGTCGATCGTATTTGATCGAATTAATGATTCGAACAGCGCTTGTACCCGCTGATCAGGGTCGCGGACCTGTAAAAGAGTTTCGATCACTTTTGTTTAACCTGTACGGGTCATACTCGCAAATTTGGACTTTATGTTTATAATTCTGAAGGGTTTTCAACAATTCACGCCGCGCTCAATCTCCAACTGACAATATTATTGTTATTTAGTTCGTTCCCTATGTGAAGTCCCCAAGCCCCAGTTTGCCATCGCTCTCTTTACACTACTTGTTTAGGTCGAACATTTGCTCGATAGATCATTCGTTCGATAGAACCTTTTTTTATAATACTAAGTGACTGGATTTGCGTTCGATCGAACCCTCTCGATCGAAATTCAATCAATCGAGGGCGGGAATCAATTATCATAGTTGCCCCGTAGCATAGTGTCCTTTACGTGGTAATTTTATAAGTAGACCTACCGGGTCTCCGACTGTATGATGACGTATGACCCGTTAAATGATCCAACATATGATGGAATCATTTGATCGCATTACGCGGGGGTCATAATCGACCCAGGTCATCAGGTCGATTGATCGACTAAGGCTAGTACGAGGTGATCATTAGACGTGCAGAGCATAATGTGTTGATTGTGATAATTTCAGATCAAGGCTTCGACTCGTGTAATAAATCCCAAAGAGGCGAAGTTTATGACGACGGAAGCAAAATTTCACAGACAATTGTTTTCCAGGAACTTAGCCAGAGCAAGAGCTATATTAAATTGGGTATTTGAAACAACAAAAATACTACGGTATGAAAAATTCAAATGCGGAATAAATGCAATTATGAATATTTCTTTTATCAACCAAACCAACTTCGTAATTTAATACATGTACATATTTATATCATGTACTTATGAAAAATATGTTCATCATTCCAGGACTTCCTTCGAATGGGAGTCAAGAAAATGGAATACGATAGCTTTAACAGCATGGCTTTTATTCTGTTGGTTCTTCAAAATATGGATGTTGCCTTTGCTATTTCTGATCCCTTTCTTATGGTACAGCCCACCAGAGTACTTTTTCGTATATTGTAAGTTCTGATTGCTACTTCTTAGACATAAAATCCATTTACGAAGTTCATTTCATAAATCTGTGCTCGCTTGAATGCCAAATCAAACAAAATGATCCATTTGACTCTTTCAGCATGTTGCTACCTATAATATTTTTCATAGTTAAATGTCAACACATATCTGCTAGCAAGGACCAAGCTCTAATGTTTTCTATTTATTCTTCGCATGGAGATATGTCATGGAGATCTGATGATCTGTGATGAATAGGTATCTAGAAGTGTAAATAATTATTACAAATTAAGTTTATGTTGCGTACTCAAGTTTTTTCTTGCAAGTGTGTCATTAGCGTACTTATACAGCCAGTATCGATGCCCGATGGCCTGAATTTGATGAAATGAATTTTGTAATTACACTTAATAAATATTTCAGGGAAACAATACATATTCAATACAGAGACAGATGAAAAAGACGACGAAGACAAGGTAATTGAGGTTTACGTTGCAAATCAGTCTTTGAATGCCGCTGAGAAAACTAAGGAACTTCCTACGAAACTACTATATTTTTCCTAATCACATTCTTGCAAGGGAAAAGCAAACATTGGGTAAACGTTTAATTTTGCAGGAAGATGAAAAGAAGTCACTTCGACAGAAATTCAACACATTGCACGATATGGTACTAACTGTACAAAATGCCATTGGAAAGTTTGCTTCTCTGGGTGAAAGGATCAAAAAGTAAGTAATAATATCGAAATACTCAATAACTTACAGTCAATTCGGGTAACTTTGAACATTTTTTGCGTTTTTCTAATAATTTCGCATTTAATTATGTTTCTTAACAATTACTTTATTAACTGAATAGTGTTCTTTTAAGCCCTTTTTTCGTTCTTATAGAAGGAATTTAGTAATTATTCAACAAAACTGTTCTAGATTTGCTCCAAAAGTCACATTCAAAGTTGCCTTGAATTTTGGGTAACTTTGAATAAGATTAGCCTTCGATATGGAAACCGTATATTTTCTAGATATTTTACAGTTTGTGTAAGATTATACGACATATTCATGTTTCTTAGATGTGAATCTGCCCAAATATTCCTGACAGTGCGTTCAAAAACGACATTTGACTTGGTATTGCCGTAATAAAACGAGACGAACTAATTTAGTTGAAATGAAAAACTTGTTTTTTTTTTTAGATTTTTTAATTAATGCGAATAAAAATGAAAATTTTCTGTTTAATAATAAATCTACGCTTATTTAGCTATCAAACGAGATCAAAATTAATCACCTATAACAATTATTTTAGGCAAAGTAAATACATAACAAAAATCTATTCACCCCACTCCTTGAATAAAATGTCGTCATCAATATAAATACGGCCGCCTTTTCTAGATAGCTGTTGCTCTTTTATAATATTCACAATATCGGCTTTATTAACTTGACATGTCTCAACGTTAGAGGGCCAAGACCAACCTCCTAAAAAGCATTTTTGGAGCACTGAGACAGTAATTTCCAAAGGAGTAACTTTTAGAACTCTCCCTGGAAACAGACTACCCTCTATCTTTAAAAACACAGTCAAACACATTCAAAGTTACCCAAATTTCTCTGTTTGGTAACGTCGTCAAAATCTAATTCGTTTTACGCGTAAATACAAAACCAAATTAAATTATTCTTTTAAAAAAGCGATATATAAACCTCTACTTAAGTGTGGAAACCAAAACTTACCAGTCAATATTCAGATTTATATATTTAATTCCGATTCTAAAACTAAGCAACAAATCACACCAAACTACTTTCGCCTAGAAATAACCGCGAAAGTTAAAAAAAAATACAATTTAACATTACTTTTTTCTTTCATAACTGTCGTTTAACAATTTTGTTCCGATTTACACAGCTTCAATACTAAAAATAAAAGATTGCTATACATAAAATAAATTTTTAAATCTTTTACGCAACTACGTTCAAAGTTACACCACGATTCAAAGTTACCCGAATTGACTGTACTGCAATTCACTTTTGAATGTCTTGGCTTATAACCGTGGAGTTTGTGATTATTGTGAGCTGGAAATAAAAAAAAATTGCAAAATAATTTGATGGATCATTACGTGTTTTCTTTACTCAAGAACTTGAATGGAAGCCCGTTAACCTGCTAATTGCTGAAAATGTAAGGACAATTCCACGGAAGAAAAAAATAATATTGGCATACGCGCCACTGTCTGATCCGTAACTTATGTTTAATTTATTTGTACTGTTTCAGCTTATTCAATTTCACGGTTCCATTTCTAAGTTTCCTGGCGATCTTCTTCATAGTCGTTGCGACTATTTTGTTGTATCTCATTCCTGTCAACTACATTTTCATGACGTGGGGTAAGTTCTGCATTAGTTTTAAACTGTTTTTTCTTTTTTGCTTTCTTATTAATAGTTTATTTCTTATTTTTCTATTATTGACATATTATCTTGTTACATAAGCAAAAAGTTTATTAATTCTTAATAAAGTAAATAAATATTGGAAAATTAAAAAATAATTAAAAACAAACAAATTTTGTCTCTTCAGCAATTCATAAATACATAAGGAAAATTCGAAAGCCTAACCGAATCCCGAATAACGAAATATTAGATTTACTCTCGAGGGTGCCAGATGACGAGACTTTGGTAAGATCTATTGTTTGTTACCGATGGTTCATAGGGCAATTTCGTCAAAATTACGGTTTCTAATCATAATTAGCAAGTAATATACAGCAATTATTTTCAAAGGTGCTGCGGTTTCCAGTACGCCAGTTACAGATAGCTCTGATAGGATATATTTATGTATGTTTGTTGTCCCATATCGAAGGATTATGAAATATTAGTTCCAACTGCTGGGCACGGATCCCCATCCCCATCTAAGGATAGTGTTCAATCCATACTCAAACACGCTGACTCAGTGTCGATTGGGGGGTAGTTATAATACATAATAATAGGGCCACAGAATCGCACCAATTACTAATCTCCAACTTTGTACTACGAGTGCCAATACAATGGACTTCATACCGGGACACTACCCAATACTACAAGAAACAGCAGTTGATTTTAATGGCGATTCTAAACCATAATGATAATGTCAATGCTTGGCAATGACTTTCCCCGTAAACAATGAATCTGCTGGACCAAAAATGTTTACAACCTGTGTGTATTGCGTTTTGTATTTATGTGTGGGTGTGTTGGTGTGTGCGTCCGTGCTTACGTGGACAAATGGTTAAGTACTTAGGGTCGTATTCCAGAACTCTACTCAATGCTCAAGTCAGGACTTGAGTATGATTTTAAGCACTAGAAATCATACTCAAGTCCTTGCCATTAGGGTCGTATTTCCAGTGCTTGAAATCATACTCAAGTCAGGATTTGAGTATGGTTTAAAGCACTCGAAATCATACTCAAGTCCCTGCCATTAGGGTCGTATTTCCAGTGCTTGTGTTTCCAGTGCAATCCTGACTTGAGCATTGAGTAGAGTTCTAGAATACGACCCTATGTCTTCCACGTAAGTTCGAATTCGTGATCTATGCAATAAGTTTCCGATTATAATTTTCAGATTGACTGTCAAGAAATAGAACATCAGCACGATATTTCCGAAATGGAAAGTGACAAATTTCTTAACGATTAAAATTTTACCCATGTGAAAAGTGTGTAGTAATGATCTGAAAACTACATTTTAAAGATGAGG